ATTAATGGGGGAAAATATTTTTGACTTAAGTAAACACCAGGGCTGCTTTGTACTTTGGATTTGCTTGTAAAAGCTGAAGATGGCCATGCAGTCCTGGAAAAGGACAACAGTAACTTTGGAAGTTTCAAAGCGCTATTTCCCCCCCCCTTTCAGTGGAATTCGAATGCTTGTAAATTTACAGGGCTTGTAAATACAGCCTGCCTAAGTACATGGCTTAAAAAAACCCCGGGGAATTCTGCCCTAAGTTAATAGTGAGGGACATTAGGTCTGTCGGCTTTTAAAAAGTGGGAGGGATATATAAGAGAGAGAAAACTGCCAGTGGCTGCTGGTCTCTCGGGGTCCGAGTATCGAAACGGGAGCTAAGAAATATCTCTGAGCCTTTCTGTCCTTGTTCCCACAGCACTGCCTGGCTGGTTGGGAGAACCCTGTCCAGGTTTCCACCCCTGTCGTCAGCAGCCTGGATCTCCATTCCTCCCTGGATTCTCAGTTGAAACATCAGGTAATGAAGCGGAACCGACTGTTGGGAACCATACACACTTTGTGGTTCTCAAACAGGGGTGGGGTTCCAGCAGTTCGGACCGGTTCTATAGAACCGGTTGTTATGATTCTGTAGAGAACTGGCAAATCGTGGCCCTGTCCCTCTCCGCCTGCCCTCCCCTCCCAGTCAATCCTTATCGCACATGGGCGACATCGTGCGCGTGCCTGACATTGCTGGCTTCGTTCTCCCCCACCCAGAAATACCGTAAGGTATTTCTTTTTTTTATCCCTAGGAAGCAAAAAGGGGGACGTAAGAGGAGTTTGCACGCCCCGCCTGTGCTTCATTTTTTGCCTTCCTGGGCCCCAGGGAAGCCGCCTGGGAGCAAAAACGCCCCCCCCAGAAGGCGCCTGTAAGGCCCAGGAGGCAAAAAACATTATGGGGGGGGGGTGCTGTAAGGAGGAGGAGGAGAAAGTAGAAGAAGGGAGGAGGAGGAGGAGGAAGAAGAAGAAGAAGGAGGAGAGGGAGAAGGAGAAGGAGAAGGAGAAGGAGAAGGAGAAGGAGAAGGAGAAGGAGAAGGAGAAGGAGAAGGAGAAGAAGAAGAAGAAGAAGAAGAAGAAGAAGAAGAAGAAGAAGAAGAAGAAGAAGAAGAAGAAGAAGAAGGAGGGAGGAGGAGGAGGAGGAGGAGGAAGAAGAGGAAGGAAGAAGAAGGAAGAGGAAGAGGAAGAAGAAGAAGGAAGAGGAAGAGGAAGAAGAAGAAAGAAGGAAGGAGAAGGAGAAGGAGAAAGAAGAAGGAAGGAGAAGAGGAAGGAAGAGGAAGAGGAAGAAGGAGAAAGAGAAGGAAGAAGAAGGAAGGAGGAGGAGGAGGAGGAAGAAGAAGAAGGAGAAGGAAGGTGAAGAGGAAGAAGAAGAGGAAGAAGAAGAAGAAGAAGAAGAAGAAGAAGAAGAAGAAGAAGAAGAAGAAGAAGCAGCCATGCCCACCCAGTCACATGGCCACACCCACCTAGCCACGTCCACAGAACCGGTTGTTAAAAAATTTGAATCCCACCCGTTTTCAAACACTATATAATCCTCGACTTGCAACTACAGCTGAGCCCAAAATGTTCTGTGGCTAAGCGAGACTGTTTGCCCCATTTTAACGGCCTTTCTTGCCACAGTTGTGAAGTGGATCGCTGCAGTTGTTGAGGTAGTAACGCGGTCGTTAAGGGAATCTGGCTGGCCAGGAAGTCGCAAAAAGGGGAGCCGATAGGATCCCGGGATGCTACAACAGTCATAAATACGAGCCAGTTGCCAAACGCCTGAATTTTAATCATGTGACCACGGGGAGGCTGCAACAGTCATAAGTGTGGGAAATGGTCATAAGTCACTTTTCTCAGTGCTGTCATAATTTCAGGCAGCCACTAAGCAAACAGCTGTATCAGCCAAATGGCTATTGTGCTGGTTTTGATGATCCCTTTGTGGCAGGCAAATTGGGGGTTGTGGCATTAAAACAGAGCTTAAATCCAGCCTTTGTCTGGGCCTGTTTTGTGGTCTGTTAAATGAACTCATTTTTTACTTAATTTCACAACCAGCTAGAACTACAATTGGTTTCAAACCAAATACAGTGGTGGGGTTCAAAAAAATGTACTCCTGGTTCTGTGGCGTAGCTTGGTGAGCGTGGTGTTGCTTGGTGCGCATGGCAGGGGAAAGGATATACTGCAAAATCCCCCTTCCCTCCCCTCCCCACTAACCTGCTTTCCAGCTCCGTTCTCCTGGGCAGGGCAACCAAAGAAGACCCGGCTGATCATCTGGGACTCAATGGGAGGCGGAGAAGAGATGGGGTTGGCGGGGCCAGTCACAGAGGCGGGATTGGCCGGTTCTCCGAACGACTCAAAACTTCCGCTACCCATTCCCCAGAACCGGTCAGAACCAGCTAAATACTGTTTCTCCTTTTAAAACTTGGCATCTTTAAATCTGCTTTTCAGAATTCCGGCTCTAGGGTGGCAGGAGGGACGAGGACGGACAAACTGCTTGACCGATCTCGGGCGGTGGAATTCGAACTCGGCAGCGCCCCTTGGAAGCAGACTCACCGAAAGCCGCCACGCCACAAAGCCATTTTCCATTAAAACCCCATCCAGTTTGTACTGACGGTGCTGGCCTCTGTTTGCTGGGAACGGGGGAGGCGGGACAGCAGAGCCATAGGACATTTTGTGTGATCAGGTCACTGGTAGGTTTTGTAAATGGTTTAGTTCAAGAAGAGCAGGGCGACTCATTTATCCTTTTCTTTTTTTAAATCTACCTTTTATTCAGCAGTGGGATTCTACTGGTTGTGCGTGCGTGTGCTCTTTTTTTTACTACCGGCTCAGCCAAACAGGTAGCAACTTTTGTTAGCAGTTCAGTTGAACCAGGCTGAACCGGTAGCATTTTACCACTATTTTTATTTTTTTGTCTTTTAGTCCAGGGGTCCCCAACCGCCGGTCCGCGGACCGGTACCGGGCCGCGGAACAAGCCTTACCGGGCCGCTGGTTGCTGGGCGCCGCCATCTTTTTTTGGTAAAAAAAGCAATTTTTCGTCAAAAAAGATGGCGGCGCCCAGCTGACGCCGGAACCGGGCCGCGGCGTCGAAAAGGTTGGGGATCCCTGTTTTAGTCCATATGGCTTATGAAAACACCCACCCACAAACACCTTTGTGAGTGTGTGTGTGTGTGGGGGGAACACTTAACAATTTAAAAACCCATACACCTGTTCGATGGGGGGGAAGGTTGACATGTGCTGTAGGCCTTTTTTAGAAAATTAAAATTTTTTTTTAAATACCTCTTTTTAAAAAAAGAATAAATATTATTTTGAAAGCTGAGAAGCCGCAAGCATCTTCCAGGGCAGACAACTGGGTCATAAAGTGTATTTTAAAAAAATCAGGGAGAAAACTGGGACATATATTTAATTTTTAACCTTTTTTTTTTTTTTTTTGGACTCAAGAGTTAACTGATTTGTGGACTCCGCGCCCACGTTTTTCTGAAACCCAGAAAAACGCAGATAAACAGGTTTTGACATCCAACCAGGGCAGAGTGTTCCAAAGATGCTCTGACTGTTTGCAGTTGTGGATTGGCTGCTTCCTTGTTGCCACGGTGATGCTTACGCAGCATCCTTTCCTCTGTGGTCCAGAATCGGACGTCTTTGGCCGTGATGAAATGAAGATGCTGATTTTGTTCACTTCATTGTTATGGTGTCTCCGATACGTCAGCGCCGCCAGCCTCCCACTGGCTGTTGGTAAAGGATCAAAGTGTTTATGGCTTCCGTTCTAATGATTATTTCTGCCTTTTGGAAGTTTTGCGACTCATTTTCCAGAAGAGGGAGAACGTGGTGGTGCTTTTGGCCATTGGCAACCCTTTTGTAGGCGAGCTTTTACTTCTGTTAGGTCCCAGTGCCTGCTAGAACACTGTAAGGCTGATTTCCCATGAATAACAGGGACCTTGAAGGTCTTCTAGTCCACCCCCCTGCTCAAGCAGGAGACCCTAAATCCATTTCAGACAAATGACTGTCCAGTCTCTTCTTAAAAGAATGGTGGAGCACCCACAATTTTTGAAGGCAAGACTTTCTCCTTAGTTCGAAGCTGTTTGGTTTCCATCCATTGCTTGTTGTTCTGCCTTTGGCAGCCCCTCAAATGTTGGACTATATTATAACGTCACCCCTAGTCCTTTCTCCCTCCATTAAACTAGACCGAGCCAATTCCTACAACCGTTCTCGATACGGGAAAAAAAAAGGAAAGAGGGAAAAATGTGTGGGCTGCAAGTAAATACGTACTGTATACAATGACAATAAAGAATTCAATTCAAGTATTCAATTAAATGAAAGAACAGACCTCCACCTTCTCAAAGCAACATTCAGTGGAATGCTCGTTTCCTTGCATAAGCTGCATTTGCAAGTACTTAATTAATTCTCCTTGAATTAATCCATGTTTGATGGTTGATCAAGATGCATACATCTTCAAACAGCTTGTAATGAAAACAAGCACTGTGCTCATCGAGGTAGAAAATTATATTTAACCTCTGCTTAATGTGCCCAAGGCTCATTCCTTGGATGCCTGATGTTCTCAAATGCCTTCACTTTAAATAAATATTTGCATTTTGCTTTAAAGGCACATCCTGTTTATCGCTAATGCTGCTTCAGGCGGCCGTTCCCCTCCCTTTTCATGTACAGTATAAGCTTCACCCGTTTTACTCTCACAACTGCCCTTTAAAGTAGATCAGTGGTCACCAGTGAGAAAATTTTGGTGGCCCGCAGAGAAATGGCACCCCCAAAGCAATTAATCCAGGCTGTATGGGAACACAAGGCGTGCATTGCTTGCATTGCGAACAACATGAGATAGTGAGGGGAAGGGCAGAGGAGGGGAAACTTGCCCCACAGGCCCCATGTGCCTCGCATGGCCACCGGGCTGGTTCTTTCTTTCTTCTGCTTTTGGCTGCATGCAAGGAAAGCAGCAAAAGTCTTTCTCTCCCCCAAACTCCACCAGAAATGAGTCTATGGACCCTGCAAGGCCTCCTGTTCCAAGAGGCTGCACCGGCAAAGACTCATTTCTGGCGGAGTTTGGGGGAGAAAAAGAAAGACTTCTGCTGCTTCCCTTGCATGAAGCCAAAAGCCTCTCTCTCTCTCTCTCCCTCTCTCTCCCCTGAGATCTTGCTGCCTCCTCAAAACAAGATGGCCCTGGGTCTGCCATCTTGTTTTGGAAAAAGTGCCCCCATTTCTCACTGACCGGCAGTTGCTAGACTCGGCAATATTTTCTCTCGCTGCTTGCAGGGGACCCCAACATCCACTGGAACAACTGGCAGCCCTGGGTGTGTATGTGCGAGCTTCACAAGCAAGCCCGCATACGGCACTTCGTAGTCTGGGGCGCCAACGTCTCGCTTGACCTGAAGACCTCGGAGTTTTGGCAAGAGAAGCCCTGCTCCTTGGAGGACTGCCGCGGTTGCGGGACGGAAGATTGTCCGGGCAGCCTGGCTCGATCCGGCTTCCTTTCTTGGTTTCAGGGCGTCTCTTCCCCCAGACCCCACGAAGTCAGGATCCCTCTTCCGCCCCACCTGGATTTCCCATCCTACGACAGCCTCCCCGTCATGGACGACAAAGATGGGGAGTAGGATGACTTGGGAGGCCGCCAAGCAGACTTTGACCATCACACCGCAGCATCCATTTCCCGCTTGCTTGCCTTCCTCCAAGGGGGCCTGGACTCCAACACCTATGATCCTTTGCCATCTGCTGCAGGGCAGGCAAGGCCGTGATAGACGCAGCCCCACCCCCGAATGAGAAATGAGTTGTGTTTATTCTATAAGGCAGGAGAGCTGGGCACCAATAAAGTTTGAAACGCTCCTGCTTACGATTAATTCTTAACTTTCCTTGGCTTTTATCTTCGGCTTCTAGGTCAGCCCTAAAAATCCAGGAAAAAAACTAGGCTGTTTCTATGTTTGGCTTTACTCAAGATACGTCCTCCAGTGAATAAACTTTGGAAGACCATAGCTGCTCCTAAAACGACTTCTTGTTTTGAGCAAACTGCAGCATTTAACCTCCCTCTCCTTGGCTCACATCTGAAGCAGCCATTTGAGAGTTTGTTTGCCAACTATAAAGAAATGTTTGCTTTTTCCTTCGGAATTGCCTAGCGATGTTTCGTTATCGGGCACGGTAAAAAAAAAAAAAACCGGAGTGACTGATTAAATTTAATCTCCATTTGGTTTTAAGGAAAACAAACACATCCACTCAACCCATGTGAGCAAGGGGTGGGACTTGCTTGGGAGAGTTTAAAACAAAGCAATTACTCTGTTGCTAGGACAAAGCACTTTTATAAAAGGAGCTGTCAAATCCACAGACGTGCAGTTAAAGGCAAGGCAGCTCCTCTGTATTGCCGAGAGAGCGCCGCGTTTCTCCCTCTGCCGAATTCTGCAAAAAAAAATTCCCATGGACGATTTGCAACTTGTGAATGAAGCTGGTAAAGCGATGGACCGATCTGAGATTTCTGGAGAGACATCCGGAATGGAGGACGGTCCAAGAACGGAGGGCTGCTCCGTTCAAGAGGGAAGGCCCTGCGATAAAACGGGGGATCTCGAACTCGGAAATCCAGAAAAGGAGACTTCAGCATCTTTGCATCCTGTGGCTGTGACAGTGTTGCCCCCGGCGCCTCTCCAGTTCCGACTCTCCGTCAGTGACATGACCTGCCTCATCTGTTTCCACCCATTCAGCCTCGACCGGCTGCCCAAACTCCTGGCTTGCCAGCATGCCTTCTGCACGGCGTGCCTAAAGATGATCTTGCGGCAAGACGATCGCACCTGGATCATCAGCTGTCCCTTATGCCGAAAATCCACGGTGGTGTTCGGGGGTCTCATCTGTAGCCTCCCGAACCTACAGCAGGTCGTGGAGCAGTTGGGGCCCCCGGATCCAGATGCAGGGATCGCTGGCACTCCGGGCACTGCCGGGGTGCAGCATCCTTCCCCTGAAATGCAATCTTGGGACTCGGGCGAGATCAACGAGGCCGCTCTCAAGAGACTCTTCCTACTGCTTCTGCTGGTTTCTATGCTGATTGTCTTCGTCCTCCCGTTCACCAACGCCGGATTGCTGACGTGGTTCCTCAGCTTCATGGTGGTTTTGGGCGGCATAGTCTGCGCTGTGCTTTGCTGGGACTCCAGTTGGAGCTGCCCAAGTTTTCCGTTGCCCCTCTGGACAAAGAAGGTCAATCAAGGGGCCTGAGAATGACCTTCTTTGGCTTCTTCTAGGAAGGGCTCACGAGCCTCTTGGGAGACTTTGGTGCTCGAGCACACGCAAGACCAAAGCGGGTGGAGTCGGGCCTGGGTGGGTTCAGATGTGGCATACGCACCGGGAAATCTTGACAGAGAATCCATAGCTGGTGGTAGCATCTGACTTCACGTCACGTTGGTTCGAAAATTGCAAACACAATCCTGATGCTTCCGTGAATAATAGGGTTTTATTTTGGAGGGGGCCTGAATACATCTTCATTCGATTTTATTCCACCACAATAAACCAATGGTGGCTTCTGCCTTTTTTTTTTTTTATGAAAAAGTCCAAGATTAATGAATAACATGTAGATGGAAACTCCACCGTGAGATGCAGTACCTCCAAAGAGCTGGCTAACAACTGTGACAATTGTAGTCCCTGTGCTTAAAAGTGGCCCTTTAAGGAGATAAAAATGTCAGTTTATTGGGGGGTTTAATAGTAGTCTTGGTTTTCATTTCTGAGGTTTCCTTCAAGGGCTGCACAACCATAAACATTTAAAACAGAAAGCTTTCCTTTTAATTCCATTGTTAAACACATAATTATGCTGTTTACAAAGGTTTTTAAAAAATCTGCACACATTGTTGGTAAACAAGGAGTTTTAAATCTATTTAGGTCAGGGTGGCTTCCACACCAGTTGACTTAAATTTCTTCTGGGAACATTTGATGGATTCCTTCTTATATATAGTTTGTGGGGAGGAGGTTCCAATTGTTTTGAGAAGCCAAAATTCACTTCAGCAAGTGGGAACAAGCACAGTGAAGCAACCCTGAAGTGTGAGGCTGTTGGGACATTCGGTATTGTTGAAATGTTTTATGTCTATGCTGTGAAGATTCATATAAAGAGAATTTTCCCTTGTTGGCTTTTCGCTTTATTCCACCTGCGCATCCAAAGGCTAGAAAATTTGCACTCACGTTGTATTAATTGCATTTTACATTGTATTAAATTGCATTTACAGCTTAAGCACAGTTCGGTTGGAAGTTTTCTCCGCTTTGTGATAGAAAAACTTACATTTGCAACGAATTGCAATTATTTTTTATAAAGAGAGATGCAAGTCTGCAAAAGATCGACAACTTGGGTTTTTAATCGCAGCCTGATTGCTAGTCAGCTATTAATTTCCTTGACACGAACAATTTCAGTTGCCAAAACCGCAAATCCCGTATTTTTTTTTTTAAACCTTCCCGGTCTGCTGCTTAGCCAAAAACTTAAAATTTGCAGAGGTTTGCTTGCAAAGGAGAGCATCCAAAAGCCTCAGAAGGAGCCCCCGATCGACGACTTTTATTGCAATTCGGATTTAAAGTCCTTGAATTTTAAAATCCCCTCCTTTTTGCTTCCCTCCGCTGATTAAATTGCCCTTTGTTTTTTTTTCCAACGCCACTTACCGCTTCCTGTTTAAGTCGCTGCGAAAGTTGCGTGGCCCTCCCCCTTTCGGGCGTGCCTTACGCCTTACCTGTGCGTAACCCATTCCGGGAATCGCTCTTTCGCGGAGCCGCCGGCGTAGGGTGGGCCTAGGCGGCCTTTCGGAGCCTCGGGCTGGAGTGAGAGGCCAGTCCGTTTGAGGCGGCGGGGAATCTGGGGAGGCTCCGCGGCCGGACGCGGCCTTTCTCCGGCTCCAGGACGGGCTAGGTGGGTCTTGGGGACGGGGGGCGTGGATTTATTTATAAATGGAAAATAAGGGGAGGGGGCTTTGGGGCCCGGGGGGGGGGGGAATAGCTCAGAAGGGTAGAAATAGCCTAGGAGTGAAACAATATATTACAGGGGAGCAGGGGAAGCCCTCACCCCGTTTTAAAAGGGGGGTTTCAATCCCCCTCCCCACTTTGGGGTCCCAAAGGGGTCTCCCCTGGCTTGGGGGGGGCTTCCCAGAGATTGCCCCAGTAAAGGGGACCCTCCCAAGCCCCAGATATTGGGGGGAGCACAACCTGCACCCCAGGCAGTGATGTCTCTGCAGAAAATCCTGGGACCCCCACTCCCCCAATAAATTGCTCAGAATAATAAATACCGAGTAATTAAAATCACCCAGATCGGAATGAACAATAATCACAAATGTCCAAAAAGGGGACGGGTGGTGGTGGAGAAAACCATTTACTGACATCCGGACATTTTTATCACGCGGCTATTCAGAGCAAGGTTTAAAATCCCAAATCAGAAAGACCTTGATGGCAAACGGGTTTTTGGCACAATCCGGTGCAAATGTTAATATTAAGTTATGATATCCTGATTTGCAAAGAGTGCTGGTAAGTAACGATCCATAGATCAGGACATAGCCAGGTCAAGTTACTAGTCCTCAAGATCAATCAAGTTCAGAAACATGATTGGCAGACATCATTTCTGGTCCCAAGGTTGTAGAAGACTTCCAAGACTGAAATGGAGAGAGAGGGGGGGAAAGGGATTTTTGTGAGTTAGGTAAGAAGGTCATTAGTCTGTGTCCAGAACCAGGGAGTGGATAATACAAGAGGCTTTCACAGAAACACAATCTGAATATCATCTAAAGAGAGAGCACACCTTGCCAAGAACTCAAACCATTCCCATCCACAGAAAGGTGCGGTCCTGCAAAGCCAGGAGGAAGTGAGAAAATAACCAGGTGGATGTTATCAGTTTTTTTTACCTGTCTTGCATTGGACAAAATGCACAAAAAAATTAACCTCCAAGCGACCTGGTCTAAAAGCAGAAACAAGTTGGAAACGTCAGCTGTGAGCTTGTCACGAGTTGATTTGAATTTCCATGCTTGCAAGAAATGAACAACTGCTTGCTTTGAGGATACGACTTCCCGCCTGTGGAAAGTTGTTTTCAGAACAAATCAAACTGCTTTCTCATGACCAGGAGTCATGAGTCATGCTTTCTCGTGTCCTGGGATCCTACTGGATCTATTAAAAGCAGTTTTTTATGTTCCTGATCCCTTTGTGAGGACGCCAAACGCTATCGGAAACATTTCCGGCTTCTTGGATTGAGGTCACACGAAAGAGAAGGCGGGCTGAAGGGTGGGGTGAAGCGAAGTGGAGCAGATCGTGGTCCTGAAAGTCCAGTCAGAAGACTTGGTGACACAAAGTTCATTCTCTCCTCGAGTAATTGAGATTTTTACCGTTTTATTATTATGTCTGTTGATAGCTGCTTCGAGGGTTATTATCTATACCGGCTGGTTAGCAACACCTCTGATCAGGAAAGCGCCTTTCCCCCCGTAAACCAGATTATGACCTGTGGTAATTCCAACACAGAGGACAAAAGTTTCCATTTTGTGATGAATTGGCAGTGTGCAAAAGGAAGGAATTCCCTTATCACCTTTCTCCTTACTGAGAGGGGGAGATAGAGTAGGCTGGGCTGGGTGTGCTCTTTTGTAGATAGCTGTGCCTGGAAGACTTTGGTGAGGACCTCCTGTTGCTTACCTGGATTTGGACCAAGCTGGCTGTGATGTTGGCTGCATTCACCCCAAAGGTTTCACCGGCTCAGTGAAAAACTCATTCGGTTCACTTTAATGGTCCTTGTTTGCTTTCAATAATCTGCTTCCTCCACTCTCTGAGGAAAGCGAATTAATTTGTTCAGCAAACAGAAACAAAATCAAGTGATGTCTAGGGACTGCCATGGGAAGGCAGTGGAGCCTTCGGGTGCAGAGGCAGTCTATCCTGGGGTTTCTGCAGCTGTGAGGAGGGCAATGTTTCTTGCGTTGCTTCTTCAGTGCAGTTTTTCCAGAAGTCCCTTGACCTGCCCTCGAAAGTTGGAGCCCAAATCGCTGCAAGAAAAGCTTGGGAGCCTTCCTAGGAAGAAGCAGTCTTATCTCTAGGAAGGAGGGATGCCTTTGTGGCCCGCTTGCTGACCCACCTGCTTTAAATAAAGGATGCTGAGGGATTCTTCTTGCATTCTTATTTGGGTGTTTTTGTGTCCCTTGGCAGGAACAGACGGACATGTCTGCTGATCCCCGGCCAGGCTGGAGGCCCTGGAGAAGCCGGCCGAAGGAGGAAGAAGAAGAAGACACAGGGCCAAGGACGGGTCCAGGCGCGCAGTTGGGAGAGCCGGGGAAATATGCCTACGCAGCTCTCTGTGCGGTTTCCTTGGCCTCGTTGTTTCCAGACCAGGAGGAAAGGTGAGCGGCCTCAGGGGTGGGTGTTGAGATAATTCCCCGTTAGGAGAATGAGCGCACACTGGGAGACGTAGTGAGAGTGGTGAGGAATATCACACAACCAGCACACAGATACACTGTATAGTAAAATGTAGGTTTTCCAGTAAAACGGTTAAGCAAAGTCCAAACACAGTCCAAGTCATTCACGGTTATAGCAGTCAGTTTTCAGTCCAGGGATAATCCAATAACAAAGTCCAGTATCATAAACAGTTCAGTAACAGACTTACATCAAATCCAAGACTAACAATGATCAGCGACAGTCAATAGAGAAATGCAGGTACATACTCTCAGCAACAGGGCAGCTAGCAACTACCAACTACCAACAACAGAACAGAACAACCCAGGTTTCTGGCTCCGTCTTATGGCCGTTTGAGGAACCCAATTACAATTTTAGCATTCCCTTAAAGAAACAGCATTAAAATGTCTATCCTGGTTTATATATTTTCCAACCCAACTGTTAGGTGACTTACATTCCTAACAGTGGGCTTCAAAAATTTTAGCAACCGGTTCTCTGCCTGGTTGCTGGATGGGCGTGGCCATGGTGGGTGTGGCCTAGCCGGCCTCCTGCACGATGGCAGGGCGGGTGTTTTCGCCCTCCCCGGGCTCCGGAGGCTTTTCTCGAGCTTCTGGGAGGGCGAAAACAGCCTCCGCAGGCTCTGGAGGCCCTCTGGAGTCCAGAAATGGGCCCGTTTCCAGCCTCCGGAGCCTCGGGGTGGCCTGTTGTTCACCCTCCCCGACTCCAGAGCCTGGGGGGGCCCTCTGGAGTCCAGAAGTGGGCCTATTTCCAGCCTTCCTCCACCCTGAGCTTCTGTGCAGGCCCTGCACTTTTACCTGGGATCCGAAACGGGCTGCGTGGAGACTCCTGGGAGGGGAGGGGTGGTTGGGCCATCCAGGGTTGGGATTTGCCAGTTCACCGAACCACCCATAAAATTAGCTACTGGTTAGCTAAGGGTTTGCCCAAACCGGGGCAAACCGGTGGTAGTCCACTCCCAAGCGTCTCCTTGCTGGTTTTCCTCCCAGCTCTTGAGAAAGCATCACAACAAAAAAATTCAAGGGATGTTTTGTTCGGCCTCTGCTTGGGATTATTGATTTTTTTTTTCCCTTTGTCGGTGACAAAAGGAAAGAGCCTGGTTTTTGTATAGAAAAAAAAAGAGTTTGGCCTCTACGAAAGTGGGAAAGGCCAGACCTGGCTTAGCATTTTGCAGAAGAAGGCGATCGACGGACGGTTAAGGCTAAACAATGTTAACATGCCATTGTTTACGAGGCCAGGCTCCCTTTATTTTCCTGTGAGGAAAATTTTATATGTACATTAAAGCAGGATAAGGATAGGTTGGATTGGCTGACTCATCATTTATACGCCTCTCCGGGTAAATCCTCACTTTACAACCACAGTTCTGTTGCTAGGCTAAGCAGTTGTTAAGTACCCTGTATCCCCAAAAATACGACCTACCCAGAAAGTAAATCCTACCTTGATTTTTTATATGTGCACCCAATATAAGCCCTAATTAAGATCCCTCCCACTCCAGAGTGCACCGGTAAACATTACTCTAGGGTGGGGATAGGTGTGTGTGGAGCCACCCTACTACTTATCTTTAGACAATTGTATCCAGGCCTCGCACATCCCGACACGTGCCTTGCTGGCTCATTTCTTCTGCGGACGGCAAGGCTTTCCTGAAGGCCTCTGTAGCTGGTAACAAAGCTCAGGATCGATCCAGAGCTCTCTTATCGGCTGCAGAGGCCTTCAGGGGAGCCTTGCCGGCTGCAGAAGAAGAAGTTCCTGAAGGCCTCTGACAGCGAAAAGGAGGCCAGAAATGACGTGCGCAAGTGAGGTTAGTCAGTAGATGACATGCCCCGAAAATAAGACCTGGTGCCTGTTTTTGGTGGCCAAAAAATATAAGGCAGGGTCTTATTTGGTGGGAAAACATGGTAAGTTTTGCCCCATTTTATGACTTTCCTTGCCACCATGGTTAAGTGAATCTCTGCAGTTCTTAAATTAGTAACACAGTTGTTTAAGTGACTCTGGCTCTGATTTTGCCTGTCGGAAGGAGATCACACATGACCTTGGGACACAGCAATGGTCATAAATGTGAGCCAGTTGTCAAATTTTAATCGCGGGACCACGGGGAATGCTGCAGTGGTTGCAAGTGTAAAAAAAAAAAAACCCGGCCATAAGTCGCTTTTTTTTTCAGTGCCGTCGTAATTTTGAACAGTCACTGTGTCAACTCAAAAGATACTCCTTTGGTCTTTGGTCAGCAGAAAGGGAGTGGGTGGGAAACAGGGCATTCCTCAAGTGCCTAGATAATCGCCTTGGCAGCCCAAAGTTGTCGGAGCACCGGAATATTACTGGCGAGTATGATTGGTGACTCTTGTCTATGGATGTGTCCCATTGGAGAATATACATCCAGGGGGTGGGTGGGAGGAAGACCAGGGTCAAGGGGGCAAGGAATGATGTATTTTAATATCGGCTGCATCCAGCTAACACCAACATGGCCACTTCTCAGTGAACTGTTACAAGCGAAGGAGTACCTGAGTAGCGTTTTGGTTCCCCAAAGCAACGCTACCCCTCCCCGACGGATGAGCCAGTGTGAGCGTTGGCCGCGGGTTGCAAATGCCACGCCGTGATCTCGTTTCTCTTGGCCTTCGCTCCACAGCGCCTACAGGACGGGAGTGGTGGAGAACCTGGTCAGGTGGCTGGAGCTGTCGGACACCGTGATGCCATCCATGCTGGCCTTTGCCGGAGGTCTGGGGGCTGAAGGGACGGAGACCTTCGCTCGGATTCTTCTGAGCGAGCCGCTCCTGGCGGATCAGCCCGGCTCTGTTATGCGGGTGAGTGGAAAGTCTTTTGCTGTTTTGTCCTAAGCCAGGGGTATGTCAAACTCAGTTTCATCAGGGTTGTGTTTGACCTCGGAGGGCTGGGGGCGTGGCATAGGACTTAGGTCGGGGGCACCTGTTGGGGGCACCACAGGTCCTAAGGCAGGATTTCCCTGAGACCCTCCCTCACTCTCATTATAATCTATCTCCCTCCTTCCCTTCCTACCTTTCCTTCTTTTTCCTTCCCTCTCCCTTCTCCTTCCTTCTTCCTCCCCCTCTTTCCTTCTTTTTCCTTCCCTCTTCCTTCTCCTTCCTTCTTCCTTCCCCTCTTTCCTTCTTTTTCCTTCCCTCTTCCTTCTCCTTCCTTCTTCCTCCCCCTGTTTCCTTTTTCCTTCCCTCTTCCTTCTTCCTTCCCCTCTTCCCTTCTTTTCCCTCCCTTGCTCTCTTCCCCTCTTCCCTCCTTCCTTCTTCGTCTTGCCTCTTTCCCTTTCTTTCCCGCCCCTTCTTGCACGCTCAGATGCCGAAGGGGAAACATTTCTCCTTTTGTTTTGTTTTGATAGCCACCTGCCAGCGACAACGGAGTGCCCCCGTTTTCAGCCACAACAGCTTCCTGCAGCCCCCTCCCTCCCTCAGCTCCATTTTCTCTGTCAGGGGGCCACAGGAGCCATCGCAGTCAAAAGCGGGGCACCGGGGGGGGGGGGGGCTGTGCAAGCCCCCCCCCCCATGCTCCATTTTTGCTGGCAGGCCAGAGTCCTTTGCTGTTTCCGGCCTCACCCCCCATGGGCCGGATCTAAGCACCCCAAGGGATGGATCTTGAGTTTGACACACATACACACACACACCCGTCCTAAGCTTACCGGTGGGTGTGGTTGATCCTTTCTGAATTAAGGAGGACTTTGAAAGACACTGCAGGAGGCGATACCCTTTTCTTCCTTTTGCTCCCCAAAAATGCAGCACCTCTGGGCATGGAGGTGCCGCGCACAAACCTCCCCGTTTCCCTTCTCTTTTCCATGAGGGGAGGAGGCTGCCTTCTCGCCAACCGACCCACGTTCAGACTTTCTGGGGAATGCCCTTGTTTCCTTTTTAAAACAAAAACAAAAAAACCCTCACCGCTTCTCCCACGTCTTTCTCTTTTAGGACCTGGTCTCCTTTTCTCTCAAGGATGGTAAGTGATGTTGAGGGCCCGTTTTTTTCTTTTCTTCCGTTGTTTTTATGAGCGTTTAACCAGGGAGGCAAAGCAAAAAGAGCTCATGTAGGGTAAATTTGGGGGGGAAACCAGACAATCGACGAGAGATTTTAGGAAATTTTCTCCTTCCTCTGTCACAAGTCGGCGAGGACTAGCTTCTTTAAAAAAAAAGTTTTATTGATTGTCTATTGCTTATATTTTGTTAGTGCTTAATAAACTTTGTGTTGTCTGGGTTATTT